ACCTGAGCCGAAGCCAGATGCTTAACGACTGAGCCACCCAGGTGCCCCTCACTCTCCCATTCTTAATAAGATTTAGCTCCCCATGAGCGGTCAGATTAATGCTTTGGTTCCTTCCTCGTCCACTGTTAGCAGAAGGCCACTCTCATTCCTTAAGAAATGGATCTCCCCATTCTACAGAGGGTGGCAGTCCTCCACCCTCTGGTAAAATGTTTTAAGACCAACCATGACCTGGGACAACATGGCAGCCTGCTTCAGCAGAGCCAGCAAGTGAGGGAGCAAGGGACAGTGAGGAGATGAAATGCATGTCTTTTGTGACCTATCCCATCCCATTTGCCTTATATTTGTTCAGAGCAAGCCACTAAGTCCTGCCCACATTCTTGGGTTATGCCAGAGCATGAAAACCAGGGACGGGATCATTGGGGGCCATCTGAGAAACACCTGCATGGTGACTTGCAGGTGTTCATTTCAGAGATCACTTTGCTCACAATAATAACACAAAAGGTTTATTAAGAGTGGATGCGTGGAGACAGGTGAAGAGGCTCAGCTCTAGTCTGTAGCATATATCACTGTCGATCAGGGTCAGAACAGAGAAGACTTACCTTCCAATATGACCCTCTGTCCCACTCGCTCTTCTGTCCTCCATCCTTTGTAGAATGTTTTAATACCAACCACGATATGGGACAAGATAGAAACGTAAATAATAGCAACTAAAATGTAAACAAAGTGTCAGTGTTTCCAAAGACTGGCACATTCATAATCATAGCTGATCCTCCCAACTCCCTACAAAGTTGGAGGAAAAGGTGATGTTGTTCCCTATTTTACGTAGAGGACACGGAGGCTCAGGGGATGCCCATCCCCCACCTGAGGTCCCACAACCAGCAAAAGCTGAGGTCAGAACTATACGGTTCTAAACCTTGTGTGTTCTCAAATCGACTTCTCCATTAGGCGTCCAGTTGAAGGCAGAACTTTCTGTCTGAGCTATGCTGCTGGGTGTGAAAGTACTAACCTAATGTGCTGTTTGAACCTTGAGACTAGCAAGTTCCAGATCCAGCCCTGCACCTCCCTTAGCCTCCTGTCTCCTTATACCTCCACCGCTCTGCCTTGAGCTCACTCCTGCTCTCCATCACTCTGCCCATCACTGAGCGCCAGCAACCTCTCTTCCTGGGAACATGAGGATGAGTGCTCAGGTGGTCCCTAAAGAACTCACCATCTAATGTCCAACGATGATAAAAATGCCATAAGCACTGAATAACTTTGGTTAATAATATGCTACAGGAACATGGGACATAGAACTGTCAAAGTTTGTAATTACATTACTCATGTCAGAAATACTATTCGGTAGTTCATAGTTTGGATTACAATATATGCTTGTGTATAATACAGTTGTATTTCCTTTCAAAATAGTAAAGCAGATGCTTACCATACTTTTGTGTGAACCTTGGCACCTGGTAGTAGAGAATGTATAACCTCTTAGTGGAATCCAATCATGCCAGATTGAAGTGAATAATTTTCTACCAAGCCTGTTATTTTCCAAAATAGCAAAATATTTTACATTATCAAAGAATGTGACAATGGCTTATGTATAAGGCTCTTTTATTTATGCAGAAACATCCTAATGTGGCCTTCTTTCTAGACCTGCTTCAATGTCCAGGTGTCATCAGGGCAGATGTATCACGCAGTTTCTTTCTCTTGCTCCCTGCATCCTCCCTCCTACCCCAGATTTATGTCCTTCCATCCAAGTCCCTCCCTTCATCCCTTCATAGGAAATGCATTCTTGGCAGCTGGGTCTTTTGTATAATGTAGTTAGATGTTTCCCATATGTTTTCCTCTAGACAGATTTATATATCTATAGAAGAGTTGCTCCTTCTGTACCATTACCTGTTGTTTCTGTGGGAAAACTATTACAGATAAATAGCTGGTTATTAACTATAATGGATGCAGTGCCTAGAAGAGAATTTTGAGTTTCAATTTTAGTAAGATCTGCCACGGTCCTTAGTAGACGAAAAAGGCTTTCAGGAGCCTTCAAATGAACTGCCCTTCATGTGCCCTCCACTCACCCCACCCCTGCAAATTGCCTTCACCCAAATGGTTATTTAACAATTTGCTAGGTGAATGTAGCCCCTAGTTTTCCACTAAGAAACTCTAGCGTTTACCAAAGAATTTCCTACTTCAAAAACCACTATAGAGACTCAAAGGAAAGAGAGATATCAGAGCATATGGTCTGAGAGACTCAACAGGAGCTGAGCTGCCAAATGAAGATGGAGACAGTTGTTGACCTTTGTCTTGGTGCAGAGATGGGGGCAGTCCTGGGGTGTGGGGTTGGACGGGGGCTCAGAGACAGTTGCACTGAGCCCGAGGCCCCACAGGTGATCTCAGAACACTAAGGGAAGAGGGCTGGATCTCCCTGATTTCACTTTGCTTGGGTTACGTGGATACCTTTGGAGTTCCAGGAAAAGAGGTGGTGTGTAAGCAGCCTCTGCTCAGAGAACACAAGGTTCTGGCAGGGTCCCCTCCGTGAGGAAGTGCAAACCACCAAGGTGTACGCTTGGCTTGAGCAGAATTCTGAAGTCACTTGTCACGCCATTTAACTGGCCCAGAGTTAGTGAGCATTTTTTTCTCTTTCTCGTCGTTTTCTGGTTTGAAATTGTACCAGCAAACACTGTTTTATACACAGAAGAAAGTGATAGGAAGAGGAAACGAGAGCCAGTGGTTTTATATATTCTACGCATAGGAGTGGTTGTCTCAGTCTGATTCAACACATGTTTTCTGATGGCAGGGTAGAGCTAAAAACCAGCCCCTCCATCACCCTGACCTTCTCTTACAGAGAACAAAGATGCACATGTCACGTGCTTAGCTGAAACTCCAGCCCATTTTACTGTTATGTTCCAAATTCTCTAGACCCCGGGGGGAAAGAAAGGGCTGATCTTGAGCCAAAGAGGAAAGGGGCATTGCTTTCTCACCACACTTCAGCCATGCTGTTGGTAGAGGGGATGGAAATGCCATAGGGTGTGGAGTCTTTCCAATAGTGGGTGCATCTCCACCCACCATGGAGACCTCCCTGTCTTATTCAGTCAGAGGAGGGAGTCTCAGCAGGATCCACAGAGCCACCCCAGCGGGAATGGGTGTGTTAAGTTGACTTGGGTGTTGGGACACCCATGAGGTTCTGGAGTCTGTAGATGCAGTCCTAACTCTTCCCCAGCAAGAATGCCTGGGCATGCTCAGACTGGGCTGCTGGGCAAGTACCAGCAGTCCTTTATCATATGCAGCTCAAAGCCAGTGACATTCTTCCATTTCAAACATAGCAGGGACAGCCAGCTCGAAAGGGTATACTGTATTCAAGTTGCATATGTTTTGTATGTAAGCCCTAAGGGCTCAGCTACTTTAGGAGGGGGGAACTCTTATGACAAAAAATAAAGTTTACTAAGACAGTGGCTAAAGTTTAAGCCTTGATGTTTACACAAATGGCAGGAATCTGTAGATCTGTGCCAAGATAACACTGCTTTCCAATTAGATGTTCTCCAGATGCTTCATCATTTGCAGTCCTTGGTCCGAAGAACAATTCTTAGTCTATATACATCGTGGGAGATCGTGCTAAAGCTTTGTGAACTCAGCCTAACTTATAAATGCGTCTTCTTGGGGGGACACCATCCTAGTCCTGGAAATAAGCACATTCTCTGTCTCTCACTGCCATAAATCCTTGGTGTCCGATAAAATTTTGACTTTGGGTTTTATCTTGAACTTCTCCGTGGTGCTTATTAAACTAAGAAGAGTGATGTGGGGGGGATGGCTTCCTGTAACGCATTTACATTCATTGAATTTGCATGATTTTCATAGGTATTTGCCGCAATTACCTTCATTGGCATCAAAAGCGTTTTTAACTACTTGAATATACACGTGATATCGTAAAAGCTGCTTCAAAGTATGCTAAACAGACATGGATCTTTTTCTTGAAGATCTTGGCTCTGAGACAGACAGTGATAATCTATCTAATTCAAAGCCAATCTAGAAATGTGTTTTAGGAAGCATAAGTATGAAAGTTTCAAGATTTGCATATCATAAAATCCTTGCATTTTAAGTTTCTGAGTTTTCTTTGAGATCAAGGTTTTGTCCTCACTTTACCAATAAGAGAACAGCCCAAAGGTCACTCACCTAGTCCGTGACAGTGTCGCCTGTGGGACACAGGTCTCTGAGCCTCTGTATTATTTTCTCTCCACTTGACTACTATGTCAAGGGAATTGCTGTCATTTCCAGTTGGAGGGAGCTTTCTGGAAGAGGAATTTTGTTTTCTGTTCCAATCATTCACACACCAGGTGTTGAGTCACCCAATTATCTTCCCTCATTAGCAAATCTGAAACTACATGAGCCCAGGTATGGTTTCAAGGGGTCATGTTTTAAAAAGTCTTCAGAGTTTCTCATGGCTGCAAAGAAAGTGGTAACCAGTTACCTGTAAGCCATAGGCTTTAGACTGAGGTTTCTTAGGTATTAATCTCAGCTTTCATTACTTCTCTTTACCAGGCACTTTCGCCTCTAGTTTTGTTTTCCTATTTCCCTGGAGTTCTGCAAAATTTCCTTGGAACATATACTCCATCATCCCAGAGGCCTGGGTGGACAAATCCTTCCCCAAAGGGCTGTTCTTAGAAACCTCCTTGTCTAAATTCAAAACCAACATCATGCCTACCTAGGGTGAGGCTGGCCCTACTGCTTGCAGGATCCCGATGGAAGCTCCCCCCTTGGGTGGGGGGAGACGGGTCGTGGCAGGCGGGAGCTTTCTGTTTATTTCCAGCACCCCTGCGTCACCTAGCTGTGACAGCTGTGCTTTGTAAGTGTTCTTGACACTGAGCCTCAAGCCCATTTTCCTTCATGGTTATTTGTCATTTGCTGTGTTTTGACTGATCATTGGTGTTTCCTTAAAAATAATAAGAGTAATGAGCAGTTATGTTATTATTCATCCCAAGTGTACAGATCATGCATTTATCTTGGGCTCCTTTTTTTTTTTCTAGAGCTTGCACTCGACAGCGCATGCTGAGCGGATCATTTGAGGGGCAGCCAGCAAAGGAAAGGTCAATTCTCAGTGTGCAGCATCATATCCGCCAAGAGCGCAGGTAAATACACCAGGAGACAAAGCTGCAGAGAAACTAAGGAAAGGAGTTTTACAGGAAATGGTCTCTGTGCACAGCCCCGGTTAGCAGACAGGCATGTGGGAGGAACTTTGTTCTGTTTGCTGATGGCAATAATAACGAAACTCACAATCAGATTCAAAGAGTCAAAAAAAAATCTTTCAAAAACCTTTTCCTTCTTGATGGCCAAATTCTTACTTTTAAGGATCAGAAGGAAAAATTCTGCAATTTGTTAGATGAGATCAAAGGCATTTGAATAATCAAAAGCTTTCGCTATGAAAAGAAATGATAAGCATTTGTGATGGTATCAGAAAAGTTACTTTATTTTGTTCTTATAATGGCCATTGTTCAAAAGTCAAAATTTGGCTTTGGATGTATTGACCAGTTGGTTGTGGTTGTTTTAGGTCACTGAGACATGGATCCAATAGCCAGAGGATCAGCAGGGGGAAATCTCTTGAAACCCTGACTCAAGATGTAAGTTCTCAGCGATGCTTTGAATTTGGGAAGCATGATTATGAAAATACATTTAAATTACTGTTTAGAATGTTCCAGCGCCTGGGCCCTTCTGTCACATTATCCTGTCTCCGTAAGACTTTGTATCAGAGGAAATCAGGAGACTCAGGAAGCAAATTGAATGGCCACTACAAAAGAGTGACCATTAACTGTTCAAAAATCCAGACATCCCACAAAGCACGTGTCTTCATTAAGATAGCAACACAAAAGTGACGTGTGACTTGCCTTTGACTGACATTAAAGGTATTCAAAGCATTATATAGAATTTATCTGTATCATTAACTTTAAACCTTTACTAAAATTTCCAAATATTCTGGAATCTAGATCCAGTGTCTGTAACTTCAGGGCTTTACCTACTAGGAAATAAAATCTTACTTCTAGAAGAATTTTTCTTTCAAAGACTGCATACTATTTCCCAAGAATTTCTTTGCTTTTAGACTCTAGGTCATCCATTGATTTATTAACTGACTCAAAAAAAAAATATTTACCCACTGTTTATTATGTGCCAGGTCCTGTTCTAAGTGAGGAGGAGCAGTGGGGAAACAAGACAAAACCTCTGCCTTCCAGGAACTTAAATCCCATAAGAGAGACAAAGACTAAACAACGAAAGAAATATATAATCATTTCTGGAAGTGTTTTTTATTTATTTTCCATCATGTCTTCATTGCTGTGACAGTTTGCTCTGCATTATAAAAAAAAAAATAAAATGATATAAAGAAATCAAAAGTGTAGATTTGGAGGCAGGGAATGTTCGAGAAGATGGTCAGGGTTCACACCTGTGTTAAACCAGACACCCGAACAAAGAGAAGAAACAAGCCACATTAAAAACCCAGGCAAACCCACGGAGGCAGAAGTCTAATCTCTGGGTTAGACTCACTAGCAGCTGTATCATGCTGAGATTGCTAAGATACTTGTAAAGTACATATTAAATAATTATCATTGGTGACACCCTCATTAAAATATAGGTCTTAAGTTGAGTCTAGCTAAGTTGGCTAAGAAAGCAGATCCTGAATGTTCAGAGCCAAGGATGGCATTGGAGAAAGGAGATCTAGCAAGAGAAAGGTAGCAAGCCTTTGGGTTTTTTGGGTTTTGTTTGTCTTTTTCACCACTTTACCTCTCATTTCTTAAGTTTCTGGAGTTTCCAGAATAATACAACTGCTTTCAATAGATAGAAACTGCTATCTTAGAGTAAACTCTCCTAACTAAGTGTTCCAGGCACAACTGACAATAGAAGAAGTTGATGATGAGAACGCCTGATACCATCATCGCCCATTTTACAAGGTTCTAATTGGTGTGCACACCTGTTAGTACCATGATTTTTAAGCCAGAACCCTGTCAGATATGATCTACCATATTGTCTACATGGAATTGTGATTGGATCCAACACATGGCCTATGTACGCATAATTTGGGGGCCAGGCATGTTGTATGGAGAAAACTTCTATGAGAAAATTCAGAGAGACAACACTAATTCAAAGCACTTTCCTTCAGTGTGATTCACTAGAAATACATAGTCTACTTAAGAGCCAAATTAGAACACGGCTTCGAAAATATGTGTTTAAATATACACAACAAAAGACCCTACCTATATAGTCTGAATTCCAGAGGCTTAGTTCTTCTTCAAAGACTTTTTATTCTGTTTATTACACAGACATATAATGAAAACCTATTCCCCATCTTCTCCATAGCAAAAAGTGATGAGGCTCTGCTAATTTCCTAAGAAACCACTCCTGATGTCTTTTCCTCCATAACAGAAGCAATTTAAAATAGTTTCATCTGTCTCACTTATTCCAAATGATAGAAGATACAGAGATAATGAAATCTAAGGAATATTTGCAATAATATCTACAGGTTATTTGAGCAATGGCTGTCCATGTCCCAGGGAGTGAAAACCAGAGTCAGGGTCCTGCATGATCAGGCCCCCTCCCACACCCCCTGATCTCAGTGTCTTCTACCCTGGTGCCTGCCCTCTTGACTCCACCCACAGGGCATCTTGCTGTTCCATGTGCACACAGCTGTTCCCTGTGCATGAGGACCCACCCATCCTCTGGAAAAGTACACTTCTGCAGATACCCAGTGGCCTGCAGATCCTTCTCGTCTTAGCTCAGATAACAGCTTCTTATTGAGGCCTGCTGTGACCAGTCAAACGTGGAGCCTTCTAGCACTCTCTGTCCCCTTTGATTTTTACCATAGCACTAAACATCTAACACCCTCCCGTATTGTGATTCAATTTTTATCTGTCTCCCCTGACTAGAATGTCAGCCCCACAAGAACTGGATTTTATCCTTTCTTTTTGCTTTTTTGCCATATCCTCAACACTCCAACAGTGCCTGGCACATAATAGGTCCTCAATAAATATTTCTATTGAAAAAAGATACTCTTTGGAAGGAAAAAATACCCTTAAGATGACTGTTGTCATTAAAGATATATATATTAAAATCAAGATATTTATTTCAGCTTTTCTAAAAATGATCTTTCTGGGCCTTCAAAAAAAAAACTTCCATTTTGATGTGCCCCCTTTTATTGTATTTCTAGCATTCCAATACAGTGAGATATAGAAACGCACAAAGAGAAGACAGTGAAATCAAGATGATCCAGGAAAAAAAGGAACAAGCGGAAATGAAAAGGTACAGGGCGCTATGGTCTTTCTGGGCTCTGGCTCTGGAATGACAGCCTTTCCCTCAGCCTTCCTGTACATGAATGTCCCCTTCCAGGAAAGTGCAGGAAGAGGAGCTGAGAGAGAATCACCCATACTTCGACAAGCCTCTGTTCATCGTTGGACGGGAGCACAGGTTCAGAAACTTCTGCCGGGTGGTGGTCCGGGCACGCTTCAATGCGTAAGTGCACTCCATTTCAGCCAGGTGTTTGGCCTGCATCGTACAAACAGCGGGGGGGTTGTCATACGAGGAAGAAGGAACATGTAATCCTAATGGGGTCACAAAATAAACCCTGGGCTAATTAATCATGCTGCTCCTTTTGGCCGAGCGGCCGACCAGGTGGAAAACAAACAAAGGTTGCAAGCCGTTAACATTTATATAAAACTCACGTTTATAAAACACTGAACAGCCATTTTTATGTGCTCATTTTAAGTCGCCCAATACGTTTCTGTCCGTGTTACTAACGCCACATTTTGTTTCGGAAATACCGAACCAAGAGTAGACTGAATGATGCAGGGAAGGTCATTGCCCACACCTTCTTTCAGACTTGTAGTTTCTTTGTGGTGAAAATACCCTAATTGGATTATTCTAGAATAATGTAAAAGAGAAATAAAATTGACTAGTGCTTCCATTACCAATTGTTATGAGAAGAAACCCCACTGGCCAGTGTCTCTGTCCCTACACGCATAGAAGAAATGTGTAGGAGGCCGTCGGTGTGGTTGACCAGGAGGACGTTGCATTTGTGACGCCCCAAGCCAATCTCAGCAGGCAACCAGTGGATGAAATGGCATTTTTGTCCTGCGCAACTTTAGTATATATCCAGAAGAGTCCTGGAGGAAGTGTGGAAGCTTTCCATCTAAGTAGTTGGATCTTCCCTGTTGGTATCCTTAGTAGTATATTATGATAGCATATCACTATGTGTTGTGGGCTGAACTGTGTGTGCCCCCCTGCCAAAAAAATCTGTATATTGAACCCTTAATCCCTGGTACCTCAGAATGTGACTTTATTTGGAAATAGCCTCTTTAAAGAGATAATTAAATTAAAATTAGGTGATTAAGGTGGTCCCCAATGCAATATGACTGTTGTCCTTATAAGAGGAGGACATTTGGACACAGACACTGAGAGAGGGGAGACAATGTGAAGACATAGGGAGAAGACACCATCTACAAACCAAGGAGGGAGACCTGGGACAGGTCCTTCCCTCACGGCCCCCAGAAGGAACCGACCCTGCCCATACCTTCCTCTTAGACTTCTCGCCTCCAGAACTGAGAGAACACGTTTCTGTTGTTTAAGCCACTTGCTCTGTGCGACTTTGTTACAACAGCCCTAGGAAACTAATACAGTATGGTAATATTTCAGGGCTGGAGGACACCTCGGGAACCATTTGGTGTCATTTGTATCTCCCCTCCTCCAACAGAGGAGGACAATTAGGTTAAGGGCTTTGTGCAGGGACACGAACTAGCGCATGGCTCCCTCTGACTGGCAGTCTAGTGATCTCTCAGTTGTTCTAGAAAGACCCTCACCATTTAAAGCACCTGAGTCATAATTAAAAACTTCCCTGAGTTTTCACACAGTAAAGAAAGAAGCCGGTAGTTTAGAGTTGATTTGATCAGTTCCTCAAGTGAGTGTTTCATCTGGAATCATCCTGTTGGCTGCCTCCATGCTAACATCTAATTGCTAATTCTCCACTTCATTTAGTGTGGACTTCCTCTCCTTTTGTCAGCCCTGCAGCTGATGTGGACCGAGGAAGACTCGGTTATAATTGGGAGCACACACACACAGACCGTCACGGGCTTCACTGAAGATTGATCACGGGCTCCCTGAAAGTGAAAGTTATAAGTAGGGGCCCCAAGAAATTCTGTATAAATCACTCCACAAGATCACAGTTAAACACAGGAGGGGAGAGCTCTATTTAATTTCTGGAGGTTTAATTGAACAATCATGAGGAAAATTCTTGAACTGCTAAGGCAGAGATTTTAACGGAGTGTTTTTAAATGGAAGTCAAAGTTTTGTCACATCCATGTCAGAAATTGTTGATTGGATTCATGAATTCTCAAATCAACTATTTTGAGAAATTTTAAACTTTACTTTCACAAACATCAGCTGCAAACTCTTCTGATTTTTCTGTCATTTAATGTTCTCTGCCTTTGAAAGCCACACAGTTCCTGGAAATGTAATTTTACAGAGGATACAAAAGAGATTTCAGGTAGATAAGATGTTTATAAATACCATGCTGTCAAGTGAGAACACACTTGCTTTGTTGCAGAATGTTGTGTTTGTTGTCTCTTACAGATCTAAAACAGATCCCGTCACAGGAGCTGTGAAAAATACAAAGTACCATCAACTTTAGTAAGCATCACAAAGTCCATTTTCCATGCACATTTGAAATTTCCATGTACCACTTTATGCTGCATAAAAATGTAAAGATTCCCTTTATTTTCTTGCCATATCATGCGAGGAAATAGACAATGGGGGCTTTCAAAAAAAATGCCAGTCACATTTATAGAATCACAGAAGGGCCGTCTCTGACCTGCACGGCCTTCCCTGGAGCATCTGTTTCTCAGTTATGTTTGGTCTTTGGCAGTGATCTGCTGGGACTGGTAACTTACCTGGACTGGGTCATGATCATCGTAACCATCTGTTCCTGCATTTCCATGATGTTTGAGTCCCCCTTTCGAAGAGTCATGCACGCCCCGACTTTGCAGGTACGGCTGCTGAATTTCAGCCCACAGCTCAGCAAAAACACGGGGCTGCGGTTTTTCCCTTCTTGATGACCCAACTGCCTCTTGCCCATTTCAGATTGCTGAGTACGTGTTTGTGATATTCATGAGCATCGAGCTTAATCTGAAGATTATGGCAGATGGCCTATTTTTCACTCCAACTGCTGTCATCAGGGACTTTGGTGGAGTCATGGACATATTTATATATCTTGTAAGTCTCCGGTTATTTCCTAAATGTAAGGTGTTGTGGCTTTGTGAACTCTCCTGCCTTTCTTGGTACAAGAGAAAGATGCGTGAGTTCCAGAGGTTTAGATGCCATTACTGAGTCTCAAGTACCACAGGCAAATGAAGGGCATGCATGTAAAAATCTAAATAAAAAGCATTAAAAATTTCCATGGATATGGTTCACATACATCGACTACATTCTTATACACATAAGACATACATTAATAAGGCCTAAAACAGAAATCTCGTTCCTACTCCACAATCCTGTGGCTCCCATACAAAAAAAAAAAACAAAAAACCCCACCATCTCCATCATATAATTGATTGATGAGTTCCTCGTTGCTAAAAGCAGCCTAACATGAGAGTGGTTGGAGCTTTCTTTCAGTTCCAATATACAAAATACCTGGCTAGACAAGGTGACCATTCAGCTGTTCAGTTAAGCTAAATTGGGAAACCATAGGAAGGGACTCAAAGACATTTCATTTTTTCTATATGTCCAAGAAGGCATAAAATCAATGTCTTTTTTAACATAACAAGGAGAATCATGACCACTAACATACAGTATCTTTAGATCGTCAATAAAATAGAATCAGGTCAAGCATGAGGCTTAGTATCCTTGATCAAAGACATTTCAACCTGCACCTCCAGTGTGTAGGTTATAATAAGGAGCGGAAATGCACTGAGGTATACACAAAGTGTGGGCATCCCCATTTCATGCCTGCGAACAGCTGATGACTTTTCCTTTGGTGTCACTAACAGGTGTAGGTGGGGTTCAGAGTTAAGAGATTGCATATATATACCTAGTGAATGCTTGTCCTATGGGCCATGTGGTAACTCTGCTCAAGGCAAGTTGTATGCAGTTGGCTCTCAGACAGTGTACATAGCGAAGGATAAATTGTATAAATCCTAGGGATTTGTTTTCCCTTGCTAGGTGAGCTTGATATTTCTTTGTTGGATGCCTCAAAATGTGCCCGCTGAATCGGGAGCTCAGCTTTTAATGGTTCTTCGGTGCCTGAGACCTCTGCGGATATTCAAACTGGTGCCCCAGATGAGGAAAGTTGTTCGAGAACTTTTCAGCGGCTTCAAGGAAATTTTCTTGGTACGTTACACTTACCCTTTGCTTCCAGTTCACACAGCCCAGCTCTGTAATGAAGCTAACCAGGGGGCACAGGGAGTCTCGCTTGCCAGGGGCTAAGTCTCCAATCTTGTTTATCACCAGGAGCCTATAAAGGCACTAACAAACACAACCACACATTCGGAAACTTTACCCATGCATGCTCTGACTTGTTGGTATATCTAATTCAATGAACATTCTTAGTAAAGTAACAATGAAAGGAAAAATCCAAGAGGTCATATTTGCTAACACTTCCATTCCTAATTTGTGACCCTAATTTTTATTCTGGGTTTCAGTTTCCTTATCTAGAAATTAAAGATAAGATTCAACACCACCTACTTCACAAATATTAGCAGTTAACACATTTGGACTCATTTTATTTCATAGGTCCCCAGTTTCTTACAACATAGACTTTGTCTCTGATCTTTGGAGTGTTAACATAAAATAACTCAAAAAAAAAAATGTAACATACAGTTATACCCCACTTTAAGTAGCCTCAGGATACAGTAATGAATACTTGGAAATGGGGAGAAAACATCCTTTTCATTCTTTTCAGTTGGGCAACCCTGATCGAGGGTTCCTTCCAAGAGCAGGGCTGTGGAAAAAAACGATGAGTAGGAAGCTCGTTGCTCACAATCGTTACAGAAGGATCTGTGCCTTACAAAGGAATGATCAAAGGAGTCTTTTTATTATTGATGTGTTCTGCTCGTGCATGGAAAACATGAATTAATTTACATAGGCTTATTTTACATCTTGCTTTCTAGAAACACACCTACGGGGAGAGAACAGCTGTCGTTGCAGTTGATTCTAGGGTATTTTAAAGACAGGTTGTGAAGTTTCTGTAGGTACAGAGTCGCTAATATTTTTTTAAATACGTATTTGAAATCCCATATTTTCTTTGTGCTAAAGCCACAACATGGTGGCTTTTCACACAGCTTGAACTGAAGGAAAAAGGGTATCACCTGACTGCTAATGTGTATGCATCTTGGAGCCCTGATAGAATTTAGCAAAGAATCTATTTGCCTTTCTCCCGATGATGTTTCTGTGAGATTTTAGTATATTTAAGGTATATTTTTAGATGATTCACCCAGCAAAGATCAGTGGCTTTGTTCAGTTTGACCCTTGGCTACTTTTCTCTGCTGAGACCAAGGCACCATCCAGCAGAGGGAGCACCAGTCAATTAACAGACTTGCTTTTTAGGACCCAATGATCTCACCTCCTCTGGATGCCCTCCCTGCTCACAAGGGAGCAAAACCACTGTCTCTCTAATTTATGCTTTGCTGATAGAGGTAGGAATCCATTTGGAGAAAATGGGGGAAATAGAATTATTCAAACACTTTTCTTTGGTTCCATTGAAGTGTCGATTTCAAAATCGGAAAAACCCAAGTCATATCAAAAATACCATAGCCCGTTTTCTTACTGGAAAGTCATGTGTTTTTATTCTAAAAATCCAAAACCCGTTGTTAATTCCCTTCTTTCAACATTCCAGTGAAGCTAATTGAATGACCCGAGGTGGAAAAGTTAGACTATCAAGACCAAAGATTTCATACCATGTTATCTGAAAAGTCATGTCCCCATCCCTGTTCAAATCAAGCCTACTGTTGAATTTCTTACCCTGAGATGTGATGTCTCACCAATTTTTTTCAGGTCTCCATTCTTTTGTTGACATTAATGCTTGTTTTCGCAAGCTTTGGAGTTCAGCTTTTTGCGGGAAAACTGGCCAAGTGCAATGATCCCAACATTATTAGGAGGGTAAGATACTACTTTCTGTTGTTTGGGATTAAAATTCGGGTAGTTTGCCACGTCTCGGTCGGCACGTGCTGAGGCTACTTTGAGAACCCCCTCACACAACTAAGAATTCTCTTCCCACCAACCCCTTCTGCTTAAAGCGGGCACTATGTCTCTTCTGGCTAGCACAGGTTTGTGAGATTAAAAGCACACCCCAGATTACTCTACTCTCTCCTGCTGTTCTGGTGTGAGCCTCTGTTGACACCTTTGGCATAGCCACCCTAGATTCCATATGCTTGTCCCTTTGGGCCTCCCCTAACTTAATCCTGCTTCTGTTATCACAGGAGACTCATATCAGCAAACAGTCCCCCAGAAAGGACAAGAGGCAAAGTTAAAGTTTGACTGTCATACCACTGTTCATTGCTTCTCCACTTCAGCTTTCTCTCCACTGGGAAGTCCAGAATCTTCCCCAGTAGGGCGGCTAACAAAGACCCAAGCTTGGCCACTTCTGCTACTGCCCTTTGCCTTATCTTTCTTCAGTCAGTGTTAGTAAGAGGCGGCCAGCTCCTGGACAAGCCAGTGTTTCAGTAGCTGAACATGATGAAAGGAACACATTGCATCTCGGGTAAGGTGGACAGCTCTCTCCAAATGCCCTCTCGGAGACTCAAGTTCCTTTTGTCTTCCTTCTTTATCCACCCTTCGCTATCTTCAGAGTCTTCTCCATTTAGCTGGCAGAGAGGAGCACAGAACCACCTCCATGTTTGAGGGTTACAGGGTGAGCCTCAAGGCAACACACCTCACTTGTACCAGTTTCACTGGAGAGAGCATGGCCGCCCAAGGCCAGATGGGAGAATGCCATAGGTAACTCAGTGACGTAGCCTGCAGAAACACGGGCCAAGTATGGTTATAATTAGCCATCACTGCTACACTCTCCAGTGTCCTTGCTCTTAGGATTCTGCCCTGTGGTACATGTAGATTTAAAAAGTGAGTCACGCACTCCTTATGTACAAACAGCGAAAGCATTTCCTCTTTCATCCAGGTAAAATAATGCCTTAAGTCCATTAAAATGCATGTACCCGAAGACCTAATAGAGCTTAACTATAATACATATTTTTCTATTTCCAGCAAATATGGCTATCTAATACAGATTTTTCATTGGTATGAAAATGCCTACGTTTTCAGGGCTACCGATTGTAAAAATGATTCATTCTCTAATGGTTATAAAATACAGGTCACATCTTTGTCCAGTCAAAATACATTATCGACTGTGTTACAGCGAGGATTTCAGGAAGCAGCAGAGCAGAAGAAACACACTAGGTGGGGCGTCACCTGCGTCGCCAAAGGTTTCTGGAATTTTGATAAGCGTGAGAAGACATAACAAGGAACATGGCATAAAGGTCATGGTGTGAACCAAATTAGCTAACAAGGGAGATGATAAAGAGCTGATGCATTCATCCGCATGCTCGAGTCAGGAAAAAAGGGTTATTTTAGAATCACATTGAATGGAGGCCAGAAAGATGACAACAGCGTTGCAAGATGAAGCCCAGGAGGAATTTTGCAGGACTCGGTATCTTAATAATGGCCTAAGCGCTTTGTGATTTTACACTATCTACTCATACCCACACCAAGCTAGAGATAGAGGGACAAAAGTTAAATAACTTGTCCAAGGCCACCCCAAAATAAGTGGGGAAGCTATGATTCATGTCTAGGCAGCCTGGCCCCATCGTCCATGCTTTTAACTAAGATGCCAGGACACCTCACTCCATCAAAGGTTGGCCCCTGCGGGCTCAGAAAGACAAACTGGAAGGGGCCATGAGGCCAGATATATCAGGGGGACTCTACTTGATCCGCCACCACACAGCCAATAGGAACAATGTTGCAGATGAACGTGTAAAGTTACAACGAGAAGAAAACTGCAATATATTTTAATATTTTCAAAATATTTTAATATTTTACCCTATGGAAGGGTAAAAACTGTGCCATTTCATACATACATAGGAAAAAAGACTGGACGGATATATGCCCAAATGTCAACTGTGTTTGTCTTTGGGTAATATTAGGTAAGTTTCTCTACGCCTTTGAAGTTAAAGGGGTATTATCTGTGTAAGAAGGCTGTTGTTTTAAGGGATGTTATTGGGAATCCAAAGAGAAATACTGTTGGCATTAACTACACTAGTGGAAATAAGAATGGAGAGGAGGCGCAAGCAGGACCGGGGAAAGCCGTAGATGACTCTGAGATCTTTACGCCGGGGTTGACAAGGTGCTGGTCCGTGGACAGAAATGGGGAAGGTTGGAGGAAACAAGGTTGAAGGTGACTTTAACCAGGTTAAAATTTGAAGTTCCATTGAAATATCCAAGTGTATACACGTTATACCCAGGAGAGGGGTTTAGGTTCAAAATACGACAATCATGGCCAAAGTCACAAAGATAAGACAAAACGAATAAAGACAGAAGATGAGTGAAAAACTTCTTACTCATGCTTTAAAATCTTTTAAAAACAATGTTATTGGAGATATAATTCACATACGACACAATTTGCCTGCTGGAAGTATACAGTTGGATAGTTTCTGGCATATTCGGAGTTGTATAACGTCCTAGAACATTTTTATCACCTCAAACAGAAACTCTGTCTTTGAAGTTTTCCCCTCTATACCCTTATCCCCCTGACACCCCCGTCCCCACATAACCACGCATCTACTTTCTGTCCCTATAGAGCTCCTCGTTTTGGACTTTTATATGAAGGCAATCTACGTGGTCTAATTAGTGGCTGGCTTCTTTCGTTTAGCACAGTGATTTCAAGGACTACAATCCACATTGTAGTCCATATCAGCACTTCATTCCTTTCTAGGGCTGAATAATATTCCATGGCGTGGCTACAGCACATTTTGTTTATGTAGTCATCTGTTGATGAACACTTGGATCGTTTCCACCTGCTGATCATTATAATTAAGCTATTTACAGTAATAATGACATAAACATTCGTGAACAGGTTTCCATGTAGATATCTGTGTTCGTTTCTTTTGGGTAAAAATGTAGGGGTGGAATTGCTGGGTGTTCCGGGAATGCTTTGTTTAGTCATTTGAGGACCTGTCACGCTACTTTCCAAAGTGGCTGCACCATTTTCCTGTCCCACCAGCAGCGTGTGAGGCATGCAGGTGTCAGGGGGGTAAGGGTATAGAGAGGATTCCAATTTCTGCACATCCTTGTCAAAGCTCATTATTTGACTTTTTGATTATGGCCTTCTTAGTGGATGCGAAGTGGCATCCATCGTGGTTTTGATATGCATTTCTTGGCTGACTAATGACGCCAAACATCTTTTAATGTGTGCATCGGCCATCTGTGTGTCTTCCTGGGAGGAGTGTCTGTTTGGATGCTTTGCCTTCTTGCAGATGTTTCCAGCGCAAACGTTCACTACTCATCTCTGCACTCCTGGTCCCTGTTTGCTACGTGGCTGTCCACCTCGCTGTTGCCATATAAAAACCTTTGCTATTCTAGGTTAAAAGTGTTTCTTACCTTTTATCTTTTAGGAATTCATTGTCTGACCAGGCTCCCCCTCCTCCTTTTTTTTTTTTTTTTCCCTGTTTTAGGAAGATTGTAACGGCATATTCAGAATTAATGTAAGTGTGTCCAAGAACTTAAATTTAAAATTAAGACCTGGAGAGAAAAAGCCTGGATTTTGGGTGCCCCGTGTTTGGTAAGCATATCGAAAAAAGATCCTGAAGAATGCTATATTTGTCAGTATAAGGTTTTAAATCAATATAATATGGCATGAAAAGTAATTTTGCTAGAGGTGCCAAGATGATTTTAAGGAATACAAGGCAAAGCACTGAATTACCACAGGATGCAAAAATACAGTAAATGAGCGAGCAAGTGGTACACTGAGTCTTGTGTTGCTTCATGAAACTAATGGATTATCACCCCAGTATTTTTCTAATACTTGGAAGTATGTATCTCGATTCACATGGCATTAGAAATTAGTGAGGCTTAAAAGACAAAGTTTTTCTATCAAATTAAAACTAAACTCGTCCTGAGTTTATATCTTTAAGGGAGAATCTGATATCCTCCTAACAGTTGTAGAGAAGCCCAAATCATAAAGCTGTTTCAATTTTAAAACCCATTTACATTGAAGGATTTCCTTTATGGAAACACTGGAAAGGAATAATCAGGAACACAAATGATTATATCTAACTTTCTCTTTAAAATTCATTTTTCTTGAAAATGAGTTTTCAAAGCATTCACATCAAAGCTGGAAGTGCCTAGTACCTTCTTTCTCATCCAGTTTATTAATGACCATGAATGAAATCTCTCAGTAGGCTTCATTGATGAACTGAGTGTCCTGTTAACTTCATTTGTCCTTTTAAGTAGTCATCTGTTTTCTTTTCATTTCATTTTACCTCTTAGAATAACAAGTGAACCACAGCGACGACTCTGTTTTTGTCACAATTGGTGTGCTCTACTAAATGTCAAAACTCTTTCAAAGAAATTACATTTCACCCACTTGTACCCTTAGGACTCATTGTTACCAGCTCTGGCATTTCTCTAATGTGAAATTAACTTTTATAAACAATTCAGTACAATTTATACTGGGTTTTAATTTTTTTAAATACCAAAGAATTATGAAAAAAAAAGATGAATTTGGATTGTGGCTTGAGCTGAGGAGAAATGTCGAATTTACATTAAAATAAAATATTAAAGAAGCATAAAGAGTTTATTTTTTGTGAGGTGAAAATGCATTATTACACCATAAATAATTTATTCAGAGCAAGACATCAAATGAGTTTGTTTGTTTTTTTTTTTTACTACTGTTTTGGAATTTTGGCAAAAGCCTCAGAGCTGAGGTCACTAGGAGATAAAGTTTGATTATATTCTGAAGAGAGCAACATGCCATTTCCAGCAGCACTGACTAAAAGATCATCCACCTCCATCACCCAGGTCCCGTAAAAGGAGACACTACGCTCAAAGACAGGGTCGTGGAAGTGAAAGAATTCAGTAGACAGTGCTGTGGCTTCTGTCCCTTCACTGTGGAGGAGGTCAGGGGTGCTTGTCTCCCCAGCCAAGTGAGGCCCCCCGTGGGGACTGTTTCCTGTCAGAGACTGGCAAGGCGAGAAGAGATAGATGCTCGTGTAGGCAAGCTGCCCTTCACCATCTGGCAGGGCAGGGTTATTGGGTGTTTCTGGAGGCTCCGAGTCATCACTGCCTGGGGCCACCTGATCTGAGCCATCTTGATGGAACTCTGCTGCAAAAGGCTGTATGCTGGGGAGAGGGGGCTCTTGTTGGAGGGGCTGTGGGGAAGTTTCCAGGAATGAGAACTGAGGAATCACCCTCAGACAGCCCTCAGCAGGAATGACACAGTGGGGCACCCTCATGCTGGGGAATGTTTCAAGATATAGTGTATTAATAGAAAATTTGAGGTATCGTAGAGCCAACAGATCAAGAGACAATTACCATTGAAGAGCTGGTTTGTTACTCATAGTTCCCAAGAGGATGGGGAGGCCACACAAGGAGGCACCAGGGTCAGTCACGAGGCACAGGGGAACTGTGGGCAGGAACCTTTATTGTGGTTTCCCTGAGTTGGGATGGGTGAGTCGGGGCACGCAGGCTTAGGATTGGCTCGTTGAGGAACTTCAGTGGGCTCTTGGACACAGGTGCTGTCCCTAGTGGTCTGGTACCTGGTGATTAGGGCAGGTGGATGGTGGGCTGGAGTGTGGAAGCCTGATAAAGGAGGTAGTTGGGGCTGTGGATTCTGGGTTGGTTGGTCTGTGTTTGAAAAGCAAGCCCTAAAAATAACTCCTCCCAAGGAGGTGGGAGGGTGATGAGAGAGGTAGGAGGTCAAGGCAGGGTGATTCAGGCATTTTATTGAGCTGGTCAGAGCAAAGTGTGTCCATCATAGGCATGTAGGACAGACGTTAAAGTATCAAGTTTACAGAAGGTAGGAACATGGCAGACAATGCACTCCATGAAAAGAATAGCTGTTGGGACCAAAGCAGCAGTGGCTGGTGTCCGCCAGTGTAAGATACATGGACTTGAACTCCATTTCTAAGTCATCACACCCCCTTCTTGTACGAATCAGATGGTGGCCTTAAGGGGAGGAGGCTAACAGAGCAGCCAGCACCCTTCTTCCCTCCTCAAGCTGTGGATCAGGCAGAGCAGATAAGGAAGGTGTTCTTGTACAGGTCACGAGAACAAAGGTTTGATGTAGAACGGAGTGGGCTTTTTAGAAGGAGACTCATACCACTGAAAGTGACCAAAAAGCTGTGGGATGTCCACAATGGCAGGAAGGCAGCTAGAACCCTCTAGAAGGCAGTGTTGGGAGAAAAGTAAACCTGTTTCCAACCGTACCCTCTGGCATTCAACCTTTTCCATAAAACCAGCTACCTGTGATTTTAAAAATTCATGCAGTGTTTCATGTAAGTTATTATTAGGGGTTTTGAGTTTGACAGCACTTTAAAAGCATAAGCTGACAGAGGGGCATCACTTGAACACCATTACAATAGGGCTTGTCCATTGGTTCGGAATATCGTGATTTGGGTTAGTTTTAGGGAAATAAAAATCTCTGTCAAACAAACGTCAACTGTAACCACGCTAATTTTCACATTTTCCTTCTTTAGAAAGCTCATCAAGAGTTAGCAGCCGAAATAATTTTATATTGGCAAACTTATGATTAAGAAAATAATTTATATCTTGGGAATTGGCATTGGGGAATTCTTTGATAATTATAATTAAGAAGGACATAAATATGCACTACCTAATTCAGGAGACAGTCAGGCTTCCATATTCTCTGCTCAGATGAATACATTCATTTTCTTCTTTCTTTCTCTCAGACTTGATGAGATAAAAATTAC